AGGTTTATTCATGCTAATCTCATAAATCCAACTCCTTCAACCAGTCAAATTATGGAATCTCTAGCCAATGATCTTTACAAAAAATTGTCTGATATGTTTTCAGTGAAACCGGTACAATCGAAGAATAAAGATACCAGTATCGATGATATAGATGAAATTACTAAAGGTATGTCAAAATTATCATTAAATTTAGCGAAAATGGCAAAAGAGGTTAATGCTGTTAAGAAATCATCTCAACATCGTTGTTCGAATTGTAATAGAACTGGACATAATTCCCGCAAGTGTACTCGTAAGAAGAGGTCCAAGAGCGGATCCAAAAAGAGAGGCAGTGTTAATAAGGTTGCTGTAGATTCGGGTTCAGATACAACCTCTTCTGATAATGATTCTTCAGATAATAACTCCGATTCTGGAGATTCCTCGTCTGAAGTTGAATCCGATCATAGTTTTGATGTACACGTCTCTAAAACAAAAAAAAACAAGTAAAGCGGAAGGGTAAATCGGATAAATCATTATCCAAAAAGTCTGGTTCAAAGAACAGACAGAGTCTCGAATCTCCGATTCAACGTTTTTCACAAAAAATACAAAAGAATTCAGATACAATTATTGATAAACAGATCCGAAAAATCATTCTAGAAATGTTTTATAATCCAGAGATTATAGAAACGATTAAAAACAATATTAATAACACGAATTTATCTGTTACAAAACCTGAGTTTACTGCAAAGCAGGGCACTTCATGCTTAAATTATCGAGAGCCTGCTCCAGAAATACCCGATTCAGATGAGGAATATGAGACATTGAACGATCCTATGGAGATAGACTTCGTCCGCCGGAAAGAGCCTACCACAAGCCTTGCAACTATACCATGTAAAATCAAACGCTTAAAAATTCCAGCATTGGTACTTGATAGTGGAGCTGAGCCTCCAATTACGTCAGAAGATATTGTTAAACGTGTAAATTGGCCAATTGATAAATCCGAAAAATATGATCTTAGCGGTGTTGCAACAGTCCCAACAGAATCTATTGGCATTGCTCGTAATTTCCCAATAACATTCCCTCCAGGTTTTACTATACGTGAAGATTTTGT